TAATAATTAATTCTGAGTGATGGGAATATAATTTTATGTTCATTTTTGTTATTTTCTATTTTTCCAACATTTATTATGAAAGTTTTCAAAAATACAGAAAAGTAGAAAAAACTATGCAGTGAACATCCATGTACCTACCACTTAGAGTCTCTGATTAATATTTTACTATGTTTGCCTTATCACATAACTATTACTCATTTCCCTCCAATTCATATTATCCATATTAGTTTTTACACATTTCAAAGTAAGTTGCTGACATCAGTACACTTCACTTCTAAACACTTCAGCATGAATATTAACTTGAGTTTAATAATTGTTTAAAGGGTTTTTTCAACTAAAATTTACATATACTAAAATACACAAATCTTAAATGTAACCCAAACCCCTACCAAGTTATAGAATATTGCTATAATCTCAGAAAGTTGCTTTACATCCTTTCCTGGTCAATACAACTCTCCATTAATCCCACAGAGGTAGTCCTATTCTGATTTTTCCCCCCCATGGCTTAATTTTGTTCTAGAACTTCATATAGATGTAATCATACCATATGGGCTCCTTTGTGTCTGGCTTCATTTGCTTAACATTATGGTTTTGACATTAATCCATGTTGTAGCATGTTACAGTAGTTCATTCCTTTTTATTGCTTCACGTGATAAACATTGTGTCACAATTTGTTTATTCATTCACTTGTCGATAAATCATTGGGTTGTTTCTAATAGTTTGGGAGTATTAGGGTTATAAACATTCCTATACGTGTCTTTGGTGGTCATTTATTTTTATTAACTTTGGGTAAATACCTAGGAGTAGAATCATAGAGTAGATGTGTATTTAACTTTACAGAAAATGTCAGTTTTCCAAAATGATTGTATCATTTTATATTCCTATCAGCAACGTATGAGAGTTCAAGCAATCAACCTTTTGCCTTGAGCACTGTATCAGGTACAATAGAGGTCTAAAAAATGATCCTTATCTAAAAAGCTTACCAATATAATTTGGGAGATTAGGCTAATACATATGAAAGAAAGAAAATTTGAAAGATAACTTGGAAAATGGAAAGATAATTTTAAAAGTTTATTTTTAAAATCTTAATCCCATCCACTGTGAGAAAGCTAATTTTAGGTGCAGGAAGAATTATGTAGTCTTAAGAAACTGAGAGACAGGAAACTCCCTTCCCCATCTACTACAGAAGGTTGTTGGGTCTGGTGCTGCAGCTCACCTTATCTGAGGGGAAGAAGGAAAGGAGGTGCTACAAACACTGTTCCTTAAGGTTATATTTTTCCTTTGTGAGGCTCATAGGGCAGGACCAAGAAGACAACCATTGAAATTATCAAGAAAGCATAAATTATTAGATAGTATATGATAGGAATCCAAACAGGTCAGTTGGATTGCTGATGCAAAAAAGATTATTTTTTTAAAAATCACTATTAAGATATATATTTCATGTTTTCTTACACATCTCACATCATGATATTTTAAAAAGTAACTTCCCTTGCACTACATCAAAGATGAACACTTTTGTGCATCACAGGACACTATCAACACAGTGAAAAGGCAACCCATGGGATGGGAGAAAATATTTGCATATCATATATCTGATAAAGGGTTAATATTCAGAATATATTATACAAAGAACTCCTACCACTTATTGACAATAATACAAACAACCAGATTAAAAATGGGGAAAGGAGCCAGGAGCAGTGGTCCAATGCTTGTAATCCCAGCTACTCTGGAAGTTGAGGTGAGAGGATCATTTGAGCCCAGGAGTTCAAGTTCAGCTTGGGCAACATAGCATGACCTTGGCTCTTAAAAAAATGTGGGCAAGACCGGGCGTGGTGGCTCACGCCTGTAATCCTAGCACTCTGGGAGGCCGAGGCGGGCGGATTGCTCAATGTCAGGAGTTCGAAACCACCCTGAGCAAGAGCGAGACCCGTCTCCACTATAAATAGAAACAAATTAATTGGCCAACTAATATATATAGAAAAAAAAAATTAGCCGGGCATGGTGGCGCATGCCTATAGTCCCAGCTACTTGGGAGGCTGAGGCAGGAGGATTGCTTGAGCCCAGGAGTTTGAGGTTGCTGTGAGCTAGGCTGACGCCACGGCACTCACTCTAGCCTGGACAACAAAGCGAGACTCTGTCTCAAAAAAAAAAAAAAAAAATGTGGGCAAAGGGCTCAAATACACATTTCTCCAAAGAAGATATACAAATGGCCAATAACTACATGACAAGAAGCTCAACATCACTAATAATTACAGAAATGCAAATAGAACCATAATGAGATACCACTTCGCACCTGTAGGATGGCTATTATAATAAAAACAAAACAAGTGTTGGTGAGGATGTGGAGAAATTGGAATCCTGTGCGCTGTTGGTAGGAATGTAAAATGAGGCAGCCAGTAAGGAAAATAGAATGGCAGTTCCTTAAAAAGTTAAAAACAGAATTACCAAGTGATCCCTTAATTCCATTTATGGATATATTCCCAAAAGAATTGAAAGCAGGAATTAGAACAAATATTTGTATACCAGTGCTTATATTCATAATACCCAAAAGATGGAAACACTAAGTGTCTATCAATGGATAAATGGATAAAAAAGATGTGGTATATATACACAATAGAATATTATTCAGCCTTAAAAAGGAAAGAAATTCAGACACATGGTACAACATAGATGAACCTTGAAGACATTATGCTAAGTGAAATAAGCCAATCTCAAAAGGCCAAATTACATTTATATGAGGTACCTAGAGTAGTCAAATTCACAGAGATAGACAGTAGAATGATGATTGCCAGGGGATGGGGAAGAAAGGAGAGGGGAATTGTTTAATGGACATAAGAGTTTCATTTTTTTTGTTGTTTGTTGTTTTTTTTTTTTGAGACAGAGTCTCACTTTGTTGCCCAGGTTAGAGTGAGTGCCCTGGCGTCAGCCTAGCTCACAGCAACCTCAAACTCCTGGACTCAAGTGATCCTTCTGCCTCAGCCTCCTGAGTAGCTGGGACTACAGGCATGCACCACCATGCCCGGCTAATTTTTTCTATTAGTTGGCCAATTAATTTCTTTCTATTTATGGTAGAGACGGGGGTCTCGCTCTTGCTCAGGCTGGTTTTGAACTCTTGACCTCAGCAATCCGCCCGCCTCGACCTCCCAGAGTGCTAGGATTACAGGGGTGAGCCACCATGCCCGGCCTCTTTTTCTTAAATAGAGACGGGATCTTGCTCTTGCTCAGGCTGGTCTCAAACTCCTGAGCTCAAGCAATCCTCCTGCTTCAGCCTCCTGGAGTGCTAGTATTGCAGGCATGAGCCACTGTGCTCAGCCTAGAGTTTAAGTTTTGGAAGATGAAAAAAGTTCTAGAGATAAATAGTAATGATGGTTGCACAACAGTGTGAATGTACTTCATGCCACTAAACAGTACATCTAAAAATAGTTAAAATGATAAATTTTATGTTATGTATATTTTACCACAATTTTTAAAAAGTAACTCCCCTTTTCTGACATGACATAGCGCATCTGTGTGCCCTGACTTTGTTATTCTGGGAACAATATTTCTGAGAGTGAAGCATGGTCTCTAGAATATCTCTCAATAATTATGACTGCTCAGATAATAAACTTTTTCATTGTAATTAGTGTGTTATGCCACAAGATGTCATTATTTAGCTGAAAACTGTGCCAATTTGGGTCAGTAGTTTAACAATAATATCACAGCAACAGAGCAAAAAAAAAAAAAAAGTCTATGCCTTCTCATCAGTGTTCACACATACAAATATGGTTTTCTGGGAAAGAGAGGGTTTCTATATGCGAAATGTATTAATTAGCTATTTTTACTTATGAAAATTATGCTAATAATTTAACTTCATAGGTACAAATTGGTTTTTTATTTTAAATCAGCTGGTATAATTAAGACATAACTAACTTTGAAAGTAGCAGTTGTGAAATACAAAGCCACAATGTGAAGATCATTGATTATTGAAAGTCAGATGGGTTGTGGCTTTGTCACTAAATGGTGTGTGACCCTGGGCAAATCATTAAATTTCTCTGATTTTACCAATTCACCAGACTGGTAAAAACTTCCTTTCTTAGGTCAATATACATCACTATAGATTTAATATATGCTATCTATATTTAAATACATTCTTCTAATCTAAAGTATTTTGGTTTTTATACTAGTAATCAAATTATAATTGTTCCAATTCAATGCCAATAGAAGTTCAGTAATAGAAAATAATTCACAGCTTGTGGTGCGTGGAAAAAAAAGTATAAAATTTAAAAATATATATATACATAAAAAAGAAAATATTATCTGCAAGAAGATATTAGGAAATAAAACGAGATGTACTGACATCTTGGGAAAGTATTTTAGAAAAACATTTACTTGTATAAAATAATTAAAGTCAGAGGTATAAATTCTTGAAATAAAAAAAATCGCATTTATTACTGAGGACATTTTTAAAGAAGATCTTGGAATATCCTGATGTTTAAAAAAATAGCTTTACTTAAAGATAAAATTTTCAAGATCCAAGAATACATTAATTCTTAACTGTTATACCATTTGAATTGGTAATTTTACTTTTCAACTACTACTTTTAAACTTCTAATTTTTGGAAGACATGTATTAATAACTGATTTACAATGCCTAAAAATAATCAAAAACCCAAATGCCCACCCCTGGGTGAACTTCTGGACACTGTGGTATGTTAATAAATAAGGATATTATATTTTTATTAGTAGTGACAATTATTAGTGTTAAAATTAAGTTATTAGGATAAGAAAGACTATTGGAAATGATGAATGAAAATATAGGATTCGGAATGACATGAAAAATAGAAAGAATGAAAAAATGTAACTGTGTAAGTTTAGAATATTGATGGTCGTTTCGTTCTCTTTTAACTCTTAAAACTTAGATCTTTCTGTTTATCTTTTATTTTTCAGATAGTTAAGTATGTAAAAAGAAACAAGAAAGATTTGTTTAAATTTGCATGCTCATTTTAAACATTGGGAGCAAAATACAAGTCTCATATTTCATGTTTCAGGGCCGCCTGTATCACACTTTTGTGGGAGGTGGGGGGCGCGGTGGTGGGAAATCTCCCAGTTTGAGAGAAGTCTGGGAGGGGCGTAGGGGGCGGCTCCTTCTGCCCATTGACAACACATTCATTCACAGAGAGCGGCTGTAACCGCTAATCCCTCCGGCGGTCATTCCCTCTATCCTAATAAGGCTCCCGGCACCTCTCCCAGAGCTCGGTAAGTTCAAAGTGCAGAAAAGTGCCTGTTTCCGAGGAATACTCCGAAGTGATTTTGTAAATAGTTTATTGCAGGGTGAAGAAGGCAGGAGGCGCAGGAGCGGGGAGAGGTAGTAATTATCGTGCATCGTTCTGCTATCGCATTTGCGAGAGGAAGAAAATCCCAATGCGCAAATGGTTTCAAAGTGATTCTTTACAGTAAGCATTTTTTCCCCAGGAAAGCTCTTCGGAGGGCCCCTCGCAGGCTGCCGCTGCCCACTAGGGGAAGGGGAGTTCGCAGGTGCAGGTGTCCGGGAGAAGGGCTGCGCCTGGCTCACGGGTGGCCGTCTCTGCCTCTGTCCGCAGGTGCGGGGGATGCTCCTCGCCTGGCCCTGCCGCTACTGAAGGGCCCAGGCGTCCCGGAAGAGCGAAGCGCGGACACCACGGGCCATGAGTCCTCTGGGGCTGCGAACGTCGCTCTCGCTGCTGCTGCTGCTCCTGGGCAGCTGCCTGCTCGCGGCCGCCCGCAGGGACAAGGACGCGGCTGGCACCGCGGCGGAGCGGGTCCCCGGCCCCGCAGGCGGCTCCTCGGGTCGCTTCAACAGCCCAGAGCAGCACGCGTGCAGCTGGCAGCTGCTGCTGCCCGCCCCAGGGGCCGCCGCGGGCAGCGAGCTGGCGCTGAGCTGCCGGGGCCCGGGCGGGGCGCGCCAGCAGTGCGCCTACCGCGGGGAGCCGCAGCGCTGCGCCGCCTACGCCGCCCGCCGCTCGCACTACTGGAAGCAGGTGCTGGGCGCGCTGCGCAAGAAGCGGCGGCCCTGCCACGACCCCTCGCCGCTCCAGGCCCGCCTGTGCGCCGGCAAGAAGGGCCAGGGCGCCGAGCTGCGCCTGGTGCCGCGCGCGTCCCCGCCCGCACAGCCCACCGCCGCGGGCTTCCCCGGGGAGCCCAAGCCCCGGGCCAGGACCCGGGGGCGGCCCCGCGAGCACGCGGTCGGCCCGGCCCCGAGCGCGCGGCCTAAAGGGAAGCCCAAAGGGGGCAAGAGGAAGGCGGCCTCGCACCCCCACGAGGAGCGGCCCATGGGGACCGGACCCTACCCCGACGGGCTGGACGAGAACGCGGAGCTCACGGAGACCTACTGCGCCGAGAAGTGGCACTCCCTCTGCAACTTCTTTGTCAATTTCTGGAACGGCTGAGGCCGCGGGCCTGGGGGGTACGGGGAGGAAGGTGTGGGCAAGGGGTAATCGGCGCAGCGGGGGAGGGGACGCTAAGGGCATTTGGGACCAAGGGAAACCAGGTTAGAGAATGGGCAGGAGTCCAGGTTCTAGAATGGGGCGGGGGTGGGGATGGGGGTGGTGGAATGAGGGAGTAAGGGACAGCAAAGAAGTTGGGACAACTTCTCTGGGACAGCAAAAAAGTTGAAAATTTTGAAGAGTCTCAAGTCTGCTTAAGAGCAGAAGAAAAAATGGAAACAAATAACCGAACCTTGAATGTGCAAAAACTGGAGACTGGGGAGAAAAATGGATACAGAGAGAGGCTGAGAATAAGGGCGAAATAGAGTGACTAAAGTGATGTGAATCTCATGTGTGGAGCAGGATACAATGTATATTGTTTAACACATTTATATTAAAATGTAATCATGAGCAATTGATAACCTGAGCCAGGTTGAACTGTTCAATGTCTTTTCGCCTGACCAGCTGACAAGATTGCAAACCTTTTTTCCCTCTCTGAATTGGCATGAACGTGGGTGCCACCTGTTGTCATTTTGACCTCACAGGTCCAAACTGGCTCCAAGGAAAAATGTTCAGGGTAGTTGCATTTCAATTCTTTTATAAGTGCTACATTTTAACAGAGTGATGCCTAGTGTTCTGAAACTTTTCCATTAACCGTCTAAATTTGGAAGTGAATTGTAGAAGTTGAGTGCCACTAGATTTTTTAAAAACAATTCTCTATATTCGATCAGATTTTTAAAAACAGCTAAAATGTAATACGTATTTCAGAGTCATTTTGACCATTATAGAAGTTGTATCTCTCTGTCTATGTAATTCATTGTTAATGCATTTGATTTTTAATGTGATGTAATAATAGACTTTGTGTATGTTAGGTGCTGAATAAAAACTGTATGGATAGCTTTAAAGAACTGGCAAGGCAATGGAAATTCTGCCTGCATTTCATCTACTTCCAAATACACCTTGAATTACATTCTTCAACAAATCTTGAATTGCTAGAAAAAGACAGGAACTAAGTCATCCTTGACATAAGGCAAGAGTCACAAACTGGCAGCCCCTGGGCCCTGTCATTGTTCTGTTTGGCCTGAATAGGATTCTTTTTATTTTTTCCTCTCTCCCTCCCTCCCCCTCTTCCTTCCTTCCAATTCAGATTAGTCATCACTATTTAAAAATTAGATAATTTCTTATAAAAATAATCCAAATTTCTGGTTCTCTTGAAAGATCAGAAGATCTGGCACCACTGGGTCCACCTTCTCACATGGCAACAAGAGCCTGACAATTGGCTCCCTGCCTTTCAATTAGGCATATTTTCTAGAGAGTTCTCCATTGCTCCTATACATCTTGTCAATCAGCTTTATTAGTTCATATTACTGTGCTGAGCCCATTAGACATTTAAGCCACCCCCAGGTATGAAGTTTTTATCTTTTTGCTGACTTTCTGTTATTGCCCCTGTCCCTTTTAAAATAGTGGTAAATGCAACAATCTTACCAATACTGATCATCTCCTGACTTTTTCCTCTTTGACTTGCCTCCAGGAAATGTAAAATATTTTATAACTTTTTTATATTCTTGTATTCATGCCATTGTCATAACATTCAGATTGAACATAGTTTCAGACCAGATTTATGAAGTCACATTCTTTTTTATTTTTGGAAATATACATATGGTTTATTATTAGATGAGATGAAATGTGCTGAAATGGAAAATTGGAAGTCATTGACTGGGGTAAAAAAAAAGGCAGGTAATAGTATGCATCATGTGCATACTATTCTCATTTTGTGGAAAGAAGAAAAATACAAATAACTTTTTTGTTTGTGTTTTTTTGAGACAGAGCCTCGCTTTGTTGCCCAGACTAGAGTAAGTGCCGTGGCGTCAGCCTAGCTCACAGCAACCCCAAACTCCTGAGTTCAAGCAATCCTGCTGCCTCAGCCTCCCAAGTAGCTGGGACTACAGGCATGTGCCACCATGCCTGGCTAATTTTTCTATACATATTAGTTGGCCAAATAATTTCTTTCTATTTATAGTAGAGATGGGGTCTCACTCTTGCTCAGGCTGATTTCGAACTCCTGACCTCGAGCAATCCACCCTCTTGCTCAGGCTGATTTCGAACTCCTGACCCCGAGCAATCCACCCTCCTCGGCCTCCCGGAGTGCTAGGATTACAGGCGTGAGCCACCGTGCCTGGCCACAAATAACATTCTGAATGGATAAATACGAGCCTTAGCACCACTATTTACTGAATGGTGGGAATACTTTTATTCTCTCTCTTCTTTTTTTTTGCCTTTCTTTTATTTTTATTTTTTTAATTAGAGACAAAGTCTTGCTCTGTCTCCCAGACTGGAGTTATTTTTCTAACATATAACAAAGTCATGCCCTGTTTCTGTATTCGTAAAAGATAATTTTTTTAAATATAAATTTTTTATTTTTTCCTTTTATTTTTAGTTGACATGTAATAATTATACATATTTAGGGGACACAGTGATATTTCAATACATGTAAACAATTTGTAATAATTCAGGGTAATTAGCATATCTATCACCTCAAACATTTATCATTTCTTTGTGTTGTGAACATTCCAAATTATTTCTTCTTCTTCCTTTTTTTTTTTTTTTTTTGAGACAGGGTCTCACTTTCTTGCCCAGGCTAAAGTGAGTGCTGTGGCGTCAGCCTAGCTCACAGCAACCTCAACCTCCTGGGCTCAAGGGATCCTCCTGCCTCAGCCTCCCAAGTAGCTGGGACTACAGGCATGCACCACCATGCCCAGCTAATTTTTTCTCTATATATATTTTTAGTTGGTCAATTAATTTCTTTCTATTTTTGGTAGAGATGGAGTCTCACTCAGGCTGGTTTCGAACTCCTGACCTCGAGCAATCCACCTGCTTCAGCCTCCCAGAGTGCCAGGATTACAGGCGTGAGCCACCGCCCGGCCCCAAATGATCTCTTCTAGCTTTTTGAAAATATACAATAAATTATAGTTAACTATATTCACCCTACAGGGCTGCGGAACACCAGAACTCATTCCTATCTAGCTATCGTTTTGTATCCATTAACCAACTTCTCTCCCCATCCCTCCTCCTACATACACTTCCCAGCTTCTGATACCCACAAGTCTACTCTCTGTATGAAGTCACATTCTGAGTAACCATTAAATAGATCAATCATTAATTGATCACTAAATAAAATTCATCTTGTCAGGAAGTAGTAACTACTTTAGAAATAAAAATTCAAAATTTATCTTGGCCAAGGAAGGGAAGCTCAGAATACTTGGAGACCACTCCCTAAAGATATAGACGACCCATGTACACTTTCTCCAAAAAGGCTGGGAAAATGCAGGTGTCATCAGAGAAAGGTATTCAAAATGAAATTACACTGTCTAGAACCATGGCTAGAACCATAGTTTTACCTCTCCAGAGAAGACAACTGCCAATTCTTTCCTGTGTGTCCTTTAGCAGTTTGATGAACTTATCTCTACAAGAAGGGGACAGGCCAAACTCCACATGCCCAAGCACCCAGGGCAGGTTGCTACTGCCTCTGCTCCTTTTCCCTTAAAAGTACTGGTGGGAGCCAGCTGCTTGGAGTGGAAGGGAAATGGATTCTACCATCAACTTCCCAAGTGACCTTGGCTATGTCGCAGTGCCTCCAAGTCTATACATTGAGAGGAGTTGGATTGGGTTAAATCTGAGGTCCCTAGGGCACATTGCCAGCATCCTGGAGTCCTACACACAGTTTTGCAGAGAGATAATAACAGGTGAATATTAACAAGTGTTATGTGTAGAGTACTACATGCTATAACCCAAGAATGATCATGGACTTTGAAAAGATCCAGAGAAAGACAACTAACATGGGCAGGGAAATAGAGAAGGCTTCTGAATCTGGAGCATCTAGAAAGATTTGGCAGAAGAGACTAGAAGGAAAACTCTGCAGTTGGGAGAGGACAGGATCAAAATCTATAAAATATCAAAGGGGATGGTATGGGGAGCATGGGTATTTTTCCCTACAGGTGCTGTTAGGAGTGAAGGGAAAACTGTCAGGACACACGGGGTTTGCTGTCGGTGCTAGGGTGAGCAGGTGCTCCAGAAGGGGCAAGGCACCTGCAGCTCGGCCTATAGGAGGCGGAGAATTTACCTAAAACATTGGACCATCTTGTTCTGGTTCTCTTTTCCAAGTCATTTAGCACAGGGCTGGCAGAAAAGTGGAATTGCATCTACCGTGTTTCCCCGAAAATAAGACCTACCCATAAAATAAGCTCTAGCAGGATTTCTAAGCATTTGCACAATATAAACCCTACCCTGAAAATAAGACCTAGTGATGGCCCATGCATTTCGTAGAAGCGGTAATGAAGAGGACCAGCCCTTCTCATCAGCTGTATTGCTTGACATGAGAGATTGGGGCCAATGGTTCTAAAGGAAATAGAGTCGCAAGAAATTCAGGATGGAATTCGGGGTTTGGGGAATTATGATGATGTTCCAGAAGAAGACGACTTAACTATATTTGAATAAATGTAGATTGTTGTACCGTACTGAAAAAAAAATAACATATCCCCTGAAAATAAGCCCTAGGGTATCTTCCTGAGGAAAAATAAATATAAGATCCTGTCTTATTTTCAGGGAAACACGGTATGCACTGGATACGCAGCTTGCCTTTCTGAATGCTTCTTGACTACCCCAAATCTTTTAAACCTTCAAAGTTTTGGTTGGGCGTGTTGGCTCACACCTGTAATCCTAGAGCTTTGGGAGGCTGAGGTAGGAGGATTGCTTGAGGCTGGAAATTCAAGAACAGCCTGGGCGACATATTAAGACCTCATTTCTACAAAACTTTAAAAACTAGCCAGGCATGGTAGTGCATGCCTGCAATCCCAGCTACTAGGGAGTCCAAGGGGGAAGGATCCATTCCAGCCTGGGCAACATAGTGAGACCTAGTCTCTATAAAAACAAAACAAAACAAAAAAATCCTCTAGTCTCTTTCTGTTTAAGATTGCCCTACACACTACTAACATATCAATCCTCCTAAAACAACACTTCATCCAATGACTCAGCTTACAATTTTAAATAAAGAGTGCCTTGGGCTGGGC